AGCCGATTTTACATAGCCTTTAAATTTGCCAGGCAGCTTATCTTTTTATCAGATAATATAAGTGATTAAGGATCTGGGTTTTTTTTTTTTTTTTTCCATAATATTGCACTCAAGTTAGCTTATCTTTGAGTGTTAACTAATCATTATTGGACTTTTCCCACTATTGAAAACAATAGCTGAGAGTGATTGGAATAGCTGTATTTCCAATTTGTAAATCAATAAAGTTTAGTGAGTTTCCAAACTGACGTTGGAATTAACGTTGCAATTAGTTGCAAATGGTTTAGATTTTATTGGCAGAAGCTAACTAGTCTTCCTTTTTTAAACAGGGGTTCAGAAGGAACATTAAATGACTGCAGGATAATATTTACAGATGAAATCTTCAAGATTGAGAAACCTGGAGCCCATCCACTTTCATTTGCAGATGGAAAATTTTTAAGTATGAATTTTTATCCTAAGCATGGACTATGTGTGTTACAAAATTGGCATTTTAATTGTTCACTGAATAACTTGGGAAGAAGTACAGAATTATAGACTATACAAACTTAATATTAAGACAGGATTTAACATCAGATCCATTGTGATTGATGGATTTTTCTCAAATGATAAAATTTTGTTTTCAAAGAAACATTTTCTCACTGTGGTATTTTATTGACATTGTTTCACTGTTTCCTCTGTCATAGAGTTTGTCAGAAGAAAAACAATTTTCAGTTATTTTGTGGCCACTCAGGATTAATTTTTTAATAACTATCCTTAATTTTTATACAAGTGGAGCCTGAAAATAATAGTGCTGATTGAGCCTTAAATTTTGGGGAGGTAATAAATAGGAATTATATATTATTAGAATGTCACCCTACTTCTTTGTCTTAAAGATTTTACTTGCTTAATACACTTGCTTACACAGCAAGTTGGTGAAAGAGGTAAGACTAGGTTCTAGGTCTTTTCATTCATCATTCAATTACTGCCTTTCTAAATAGGTTGTTGTTACTGTTTGTTGCTGTCAAATCAGTTCCAATTAATGGTGACCCCAGGTGTACATTCGGAAGGAAGATGGGGCAATCTACTTCCGTAGTGATACTGCCTCGGAAACCCAAGGAGGGGTCGCTATGAGTCGGGTCATCACAAATATTTTTTCTGATGAGCATTCCATTGATTTTATACTGTGTATCAGTGTTTATTATAAGATATAACTCGTGTTTATTATAAGATATATATAACTCAGGGTAGAAATCTGTTTATTGATCTGTTTTGGATCTGTAAAACTTCTTCTTACTGCAATTGTGTAAGATTAAAACAAGACCAGTCCTTTAACAGATCTGTAAATAGGTTTCCAGGCCAGTCTAGGCCACTCTCATTTTTTGAGGCTACAATGCTAATATTACTTAGATTTTTAAGGCACAAGAATAGATGATCCTCATGGCTTTTGGTCATTAGATTTTTCACTGGCATATGCCTGGGCCCTATCCCTGAAATTCTGATTCAGTAAGTCTAGTATGAGACTAAGGCGTTTATTTATTCTTAAAGTCCCATACTTGATTGTTTCTGTGGTTCTTTTCTCTTCTTTAAAAGAGCTGTTTGGTGTTTCCATTTTTCTTTAAAAGATTTTATAGATATAAAAATGATCTACAACTAAACTTGATATACTTTTGTTTGTAATAGGGAAAAATGACCCTGAATGTGACCTGTGTGGTGGAGACCCAGATAAGAAATGCCATGCTTGCTCCTGCCATGTATGCGGTGGAAAACATGAGCCCAGCATGCAGCTTCTATGTGATGAGTGTAATATGGCCTTTCATATTTACTGTCTGAATCCACCTTTGGATAAGATCCCAGAAGAGGAATACTGGTATGGTCATCAGGGTTATCTTCTGTTTTTGTGTTAAGAATTGAGTGGGAAATATGTATTTGAACCACCAGAAGCAGATTTCTCAGGATGTACTGTGTGTATTAAAGTGCTTAAGGTATTGTCACCAGTGTTTACTTGGGTTGGTATGTTTATTCCAAGGCTTTCACACTTGATACTTTTTTTTTAAAAGACATTTTCTTCCTTGTTTAATTAACTTTAGGATGATAGTCATCCTTCAGCTTATCACTTCATTGTGACTTCTTCTGGGAAGTCTCCAATGCCCCAACTAGATTAGATGCCCTTGTCTGGTGGCACAGTGGTTAAGTGCTCAGTTGCCAACTGACAAGTCAGCAGTTGGAACCCACAAGCCGCTCCATGGGAGAAAGATGTAGCAGTCTGCTTCCATAAAGATTTACAGCTTTGGAAACTGCCATGTGGGGTAGTATTGTTCTGTCCTATATAGGGTTGCTGTGAGTCTGAGTAGATGTCAGTGGGTTTGGTTTTCATTAATAATAGTATTGAATATTTAATTACGTACTAGGTACTAACAAAATGCTTTGTATGGATTGTCTTATTTAATTCTATGAGGTAGTAGGTGTGTAGAACACTGCTAGCTCAATTATGCTTATTAAAGTTTATACTTCTTTTGTTAGTGTTAGCTACAAAAAGAAGTGATTAGAAAAGAGACTGAGAAAATGGGCCCACCAAGTTGTAATGAATTTTTTAATGCTGTACTAAGGAGTTGTTTGTTTGTTTTTTTTTTTCCTTTTGAAACTATGGGCCACATGCTACCATTGAGGTATTTTAAGTAAGAGGAATGACATAGTCAGAAGTAATGATGTTACAAGCTGGTAACAGTGTGAAGATTGTTCTCCATTCCTTTGGTCTCTCCTCAGCATACCGAGAAGGTGGTCAGTGTGTTAGGACAGAGGCTGTAGGAGTGGGAAAAGAAAAGAGGATGTAACTTTTTCCTTTCTTCCTTAACTAGCATCTTACATAGTCACACCTTGAACTTTACCATCAGAAGTAACCATATTTCCTCTGAAGTCTTATTTTTCTTCCCTCTTGTATTAATGGAAGCAAACCCTTCCACATGCTCTCACAGTTTCATATCCTCTTGCCTTTTTAGGAACTTCAGTCCTTTTGTAAATTCCTTTCCTTCATTGCCATTACTGGGTTATTCTTACCAACATCCTAGAATTTCATGAGGTTTTTTTTTTTCCCCCAAAAAAAACCACAAACCCAACATAAAAACATACCCTCTTTTAACCCGTTTTGCTCACCAGCTACCTACCCCATTTCTCTGCTCCTTTTCTGGCAAAGCTTTTGAAGGATTATTTCCACCCATTATTTATATTTCTTCTGTTGACATCTTAGCTCTCCAGTCTGGCTTTCCTTCCCAGAACTCTACTAAATCTTCTTATCAAAATCACCAGTACTTTCTATGTGGCCCAACCAACTGGTTACTAATCTACTTCTTTACTGCTCAGCTGCTCCTTGAAACTTTTTATAGGTTTGATGGTATCACATGATCCTGGCTTTCTTGTTATTTCATTGGCCTTACTTTCTCAGTGTCTTAGTTTCCCTCTGAACTGCCAGATTTCTGAAAGCTAGAGTTTTCCAGAGCACCTGGGCCTACTTCTTTTCTCTTTATTTGGTCCTGCAATGACCTCATCTAATCATGAGACTTTAAATACCAGGCTCATGGCTCCAAATTTGTGTCTTCAGATCTAATCTCCTCTGAGCTTTATATTCCTGTATCCAACTGTTTCCCACAATTGATGTGTCTAAATTGAAATCTTTAATTCAATAAACATCCTTTCTAAAATCCTGCTCCCCTTTCTTCAAAAAGTAGTACCATCATTTAATTGACTTGTTCACACAGAATAGCTAAACTTCATCCTTGATTCCTCCTTCCTCACATACTCTACATCCAGTGTGTCAGCACATCTTCTCTGTACTCTTCCTCCACCCTTAACACTCCAGTCCAAATCATCTCTTGCCTGAAACTGCTACAGTCAATGCCTAATTAGTTTACTTGCTTCCACATTGTCTGCCAACTGTGCTTTCTCTGTTAGCAAGCAGAATGGTCTTCTGAAGTCCTGAATTATGTCACTTGCCTTTGAGGGGAAACCCTTTCGAACAGTTCTGCTCTGTCATAGAGTCCTAGGAGTTGCAATCACCTCAATAGCACACAACAGCAGCAACAACAATCAATGTCTTCTTACTGAATTTAGAATAAAATCTAAGCACTTACCATCTGTAACCTGGCCCCTGCCAACTTCTCTAACCTAATCACTTATGACTCCTAGTTTCACCCGTGCCCTCTTTTATGTTCTTCAGAGCATGCCTTTCTTTTTTATGCCTCCAGACTTTTGCACTTAGTGTTTCTCTGCCTGGAATGTCTCCCCTGGCTATTTCACACAATTGGTCTCACCTGGAATATCACTACAGAAGCATTATCTAAAAACAAGCATACCGTTTCCCACCACTCTTATCATATAATCTTTATTTTCCTTGTTCAGTTCTTTCTTTCTTTAATTAATTAATTATTTTTTACAGTGTTCCCTCCCCTCCCACCTCTGGTAAGCAAAAAAGAAAGTTTCCTTCCATATATAAACCTTCTCTTGAAATTTTTTTTCTTTTCTTTTTACAGTTTCTCATTTTTGCAATGTTTCCTCCCCTCCCGCCCACCACTGGTAACCAGCAAAGAAAATGTGCTTCCCTATATAAACCCTTCCTTGACTTTTTGCAAAATGAACTAATTTAATATTAGTCCTTCTGTGGTTAACTTATTTCATACAGCATAATGTCCTGCAAGTTCATCCATGTATGCAGTGCTTTACAGATTCTACATTACTCTTTATTGTTGTATAGAATTCCATTGTGTGTATGTACCATAGTTTGGTTATCCATTCTTTTATTGATGGGCACCTAGGTTGTTTTCATCTTTTTGTTATTGTAAATAGTGCTGCAATGAACATGGGTGAGCATTGTATCAGTTCTTGTCTGGCTCTCAACTTCTTTAGGATCTATGCCTAGTAATGGGATTACTGAATCAAATGGTATTTCTAATTCCAACTTTTTAAGGAGTCACTATAATATTTCCATAGTGGTTGTATCATTTGACACTTCCACCAACAGTGTATGAGAGTCCCAATCTCTCCGCGTCCTTGCCAACATCTGTTATTTTCTGTCTTGTTGAATTTTACTATTAGTGCTGGGGCCAGATAGTACCTCATTTGTTTTCATTTGCATCTCTCTAATGGCTAATGATTGTGAACATTCCTGCATGTGTTTGTTGGCCGCTTGAATATCCTCCTTGGTGAAGTGTCTATTCATGTCTTCTGCCCATTTTTGAATTTGATTGTTGGTCTTTTTGTTGTTTAGGTGTTGGAGTGTTCTATTCATTTTAGAGATAAGTCCCTTGTCAGATATGTTGCTAAATATTTTTTATCCACCTGGAGGTTTTCTTTTCACTCTTTTGGAAAAGTCTTTTAAAGCACATAAAAATTTAATTTTTAGAGACTTCTGGTAAGATGGTGGAATAGGCAGATAAGCTACACAGACGTTCTTCAATAATGAAAAGAGAAGCCAGTTGACAAAGTTACAGAAGATAGTCTGGAAGCTCTGAGTTTTGAAAGGAAGTATGCAGAAGTGGATTAGGCACCAACTAGTGGAAAAACCTGAAAGAAAACAGAGAGTATGGAGACGGACAGAAATGTGGACTATCAGCTATTCTGATGGCACCAATAATCTGAATATTTCCAAGTGGTGCTGGGACCTGAGAATTGACCTAAAGATCAGCCCTGATAACCAAGGGCTGCACAGACAACTGTGCTGGTGGCCTACAACTAGAAAGGGAAACAGAAAGGAGGGAGACAACCAGAGCTATAGACTTCTGGCTGTCTGGAGGGCGCAGCCATTTTCATTGTTTACAAGCATTGGCCATATTGGATATTTAAAGTGACCAAGAGCACAGCCATTTTGAATACTTAAGTGACTGAGAGCCCAACCATTTGAATGTTCATAAGTGGTGGACATTTTAGATTAAAAAGTGACTGGGGAGCTCAGCCAGTTTGAATATTTATACATGGTGGCCATTTTGTATATTTAAAGTGACTGAGGGCACAGCCATTTTATATGTTTAAAGTGACCAAAGGCGCAGCCATTTTGAATGTTTACAAGCAGTGGCCATTTTGGATATTTCAAGAGGCAGCATTCTCATTCAAATTCCAGGGACCTAAGACTAGGTGCCATTAGCCAAGGATGACAGGGACATACGGGAGGCTGACAAAGGGCAAGAAGACAGGTGGTGAGTGTATAAGTGCTGCCAACCAGTGAACAGAGGAGCACAGTTACCCTGATTTTGTAGATAACATACAAAGAAAACAAAAATCATGGGCAAGTTACTCCAGCATACAATCAACTAATTAAACATAAACACAAAAATGTCACAATGTCATGGAGACAGCAGAGCATCACAGTCCACACAAAGAAGCAAGATAAAGCAAGAGACACAGGGACCAGTATACACACGCAGAACATATCCTTGAGGAAAAGCAGCCTTGGAACTCCCTGATAAGGAATTCCAAAGAATTATATTTTGTTACCTTCAACAGATTGAGAGACAGATCAAGGAGAACACTAACTAAATTAAGGAAAACCCAGACAAAACCCTGTAAAAATTTTGGAAGACAATACAAGAACAAAATGACAAAATAGATGAAAAATCAGAAATGATACAAAATCTACAGTTAGAAATTCAGAAGATTAATACTAAATTGTCAGAAATGGGTAACACATTGAATGGGTAAAGGAGTAGAATCAGTGGAAGTCGGAATTGGTGAGACTGAAGAAAAATACCTCAGTACTTTTTTGGAAAGGGATTAGTCAGAGAAAGATCACAACAAAATGAAGAAAGCCTAAGGTTCATGTGAAATACAGTCAAAAGGAATAACCTACATGTGATCAGAATTCCAAAACAGGAAGAGACAAAA